AAGTAGAGCGTCATTATATAATAATAATTGTTATTATGAGCTATTTAAAAATGTTTTAGTAATAAACTTATTTTTGTCATTCCAATCAAAAATGAAATATTTCTAACTTTGATTTAATTTAAAGAAATTTATAGTTGATTTACGTGATTTACGTCGGTTTATATGTCAGGCAGATCAGAAAATAAAACCAGTAAAAGCCTAAGATAATGTTACCAAAGCTTTAGTTGAAAGAATGCCAATCGTTGGTCCAAGCACCAAGCGACTTTTATTTGTATTTAATTGAAAAATGAAATTTTGTAGCTACCAATTCATAATTTAAGGATATCACTTAGCAAACGCTGGTTTAATATTTGTAGTTTTTTTAGCAAAAGAAAAAAAAAATATTACCTCACCTAAAATTATTATTAGAATTACTATTACATATTTACCTTACCTAATTTATTCAGCAATATTTTAAATAAATTTGTATGAACTCTTCCCACAAATGAAACTTACAAAATTTGTATTTTTTGGATATTTTAAATCTTAGATTTTTTTGTGAGAGTTAATTGTTTGGAACAGCTATGCTGAAGTAGCAAAAATTAAATGAAATGATTAGCTAAAGTCGAGGTACTGAGCTAGCTTGTGAATATGCTCAGCCCGCTTGCATTGTAGTAAGCTGTAGCGCTTTAATTTTCATGGGAATTTCAGAGCGCGCATCTTTTTATTACAATCTTTAACATTTGTGCCGCATAAAACAAGACTAAATGCGCATTTTCAGATGAACTCATCATCGTAATATTTATTGATAAGATGCTCGCAGGAGTGGGTAAACATATTACTTAACCGCAGGCAGGCAAAAAGTGCGCATTCTAAATATGTAATTATGGGATTTCTGGAAGCAGCGAGACAGCCATCGCAATTGAAATACGATAACATATCAAGAGAGAGAGAGAGAGAGAGAGAGAGAGAGAGTGAGAGGGAGGAAGAGAGAGGGGGGAGTGGACTCTACGCTCTCTCTCTCAATTTTTCTCTCTCTTTCTATCACTTGGTATCTTTGTCGCCCTTACGGCATCTGGGCTGAAATATGAGTCAATTATACTTTCGTACGCATAAATTAATGATTAATTGCAAAATAAATTGACTTGCGTCACTTAATTACGTGATGCGCGACCAAGAGACTGTCAGCCTTTTTCGCGCGCCCYTTTGTAACTGTCCGCCTGTCAACGCACTCACATACACACACGCACACACACACGCACATAGTGAAAGAGAAAGAGAGTAGCATTTTCTGCTGTTGACATTCACAGTCAAACATGCTTAATTAATGCCAGCGCAGCTGCCATCGCTCAACCTCACCTCGCCTCGTCGTCCGTCGTTCGTCGTCTGTCGTCCGTCAACCGTCGACCACTCCAACAACTGTACTGCGAAAGGCTCTGACAACGTTAACGGCCACATTAACGAGAATGAAACAAAAAAGAAAATACGGCGATTGCTGCTGCTGCTGCTGCTGCTACTCCTGTCGGCAGCCAAAAATAAACACTTGCAGGCATCATAATAATGATACATAGCCAGCCAGTGAGTGGCATTCGCTTGCTCCTTGCTCTTCCCTCTCTCTCTCCTCCTCTCTCCGCGCTCCTTTGGTCCTTGCCTCCAGCCAGGCCTCCGTTTAGCCAGTTACAATGTCAGAGTCAGCCCCGACTCGAAGTCGATTGTCGTTTTCGTCATTGTCTGCCAAGCTCTCATAATTAAACATAATTTGCCAACAATGCCACAGCGCACTGTGGTTATCGTATCATGTAATAGTCATTAAATTATATAAGCAAAAGGTAATTCAATTAAATAACCAGTCAATATCAATTTATGAATTATATATCATATATAATTCTTTATATAAAGGAAAGTAAATACAATGAAATAGTAAGTCAATATCAAAATATAATTCTTTATATAAACAAAAGTAAATTAAATTAAATAAATTAATATAATTTTCTTAAATAGTATTCGATGCTTTATTATCGCCTTTAGTTTATATATAAAGTGCCGTTTATAGAACTTATTTAATTTTAAAAATTATTAATTTCTGATTACAAAATCTTATTGATAAATATTTTTTCTCATTTCCTTTTAATACTTGAAAAACCATTTATTAATTAAATCGAATTTTTCTTAAAAGTTTTTCTTATATATCCTTCGTAATTTCAATATTCATTTCTTGCACTAAAAATAATATTTATAATTCACCAAATATCTCTTCCCTTTACTTATTATGCCCAATAGAAGGATTCCCATTTTCAAATAAAAATATTTTGTACAATTTTTGACTGGTTAATGCATGAGTTGTGCTCATTGTCATCACTTTTGAGGGATGCCCGTGCCCATTCTCGTCCGAGCGCCCCGGGCGCTGTTTACGTGCAAAAATCAATAAAAACGCTACCAAAATGGCTTTCGCGCCTTCACAGTTTATCCGCTTTGGCAGTGCCCGGCTCCGTCTCGGAGCTGGCTTGGTCGGCACTTAACTTTCACATTAACTGCACCGACTTTGGCACCATTTGGAGCAGCGAAGCAATTAACGCTGAATTGATACGCACCGTGCTGGAGCATTGAACTTCATTTCGTTAACTTGCCTCGCTGGCTGATGAACAGGCAAAGGGAAAGGGAATGGGAAAGGGAATGGGAAAGGGAAAGGGAAATGGAAAGGGAAGGCCAAGGCAAGAGGGAGTACAGACTCAGCTTATGCGTCGACATTAAGACGTAATTAAAACAGCGCCAAACGAGCGCCGCGCCTCAAACCCTTTTGGGCACAACGCAGGGGCGTGGGCAAAGGGAATGAAACGAGTCAAAAGATTATTTGTATTTAATTTCAAGTGCTGAATGCCAGGATGCTTCCGCTGCAGAAGTCAACCCAGATGCGAAGACAGTCGCATGTACGACTCTCCTTCAGCACAGGGAACTCAATTATAATTAAGCATTTAAGTGGAACTAAGCGGCGCCAGGGCAAATGAAGCGTACGTCCTGCCCCTCGGCTGTATTCAGCCCAGGCTCCAGCTGAAGCCAAAAGCGAGTAACGATGGCGACAACAACGACGACGATGATGACGACGACGACGACGACGACGACAATGGAATACAGTGAATGGGTCTGTTTGGGTGCTGGACATTTGTGGGGCAGCAGCTGCACCCTAATTGCTAAGGGCGGCCCTCAAACTTTTGGCTGTGGCGGGTATTTAATTAACGTTCACCGTTCACCGTTCATCGTTCATCGCTCATTGCTCATCGTTCATCGCTCAAGGTCCGCAGTGAGTTTTATTAGACTTATGTTTGCCATTCTGCTGGGATATTTACGTATTTGCTATGGGAGTGTTGCCCAGGCGACGACGGATTAATTGTTACGTTGACTAATTTAACTTAAATGCGAGAGCCTCTTGTATATAATGCTGAAAACAAAATCAACTAACGCAGCAAAGGCAACTCAAGTTGGCAGCCAGTGAAGTTGACGGCTGGAAATTAAAAATGTTAAAACAGGAGACAGCCCGATGGACGCAAAGGATGCTGCTTGTTAAAACTGTTTGCAATGCCAGCCTCAACCTGGTCAGCACGAAAGCATCTCAATTAGTGATGAAGCTGATGATGATGATGATGATTATGATGATAATGATGCTGCCTCACTGACGGACGTCCCTCGGCTTCTCCTCGAAAGGCTGCATGTCTTTAGTCTCTTATTATACTATTTTCAGCTGGCTGCGCAACAGAACATATTTAAAAAGTTCCTGACAATTTTCCAACTAATTTTATGCGTATCAAACTTAAATGGGTCGGATTAGAGTCACATTTGAAAAAGGGAAAAGCGAAATGAAAATGTCGAAAATGCGCTTGGACTATTAGCATGAAATATAACGATAAACAATGAAAATATAACGATAAACAGATTATATTACAGGGTATCTCTGTAGTAAATTCCCTTTCCAGTGCATTTTCAGACTAACAAAATTCAATTGCGGCAAAAGTCGGACTAGTCGAGTGAGCCAACATTGTGCATCCTGTCGATGCAAAGGAGCTGAGCCAAAGGCGGGTCATCCAGTCCTTACTGTCCTTTTTTTTTAGGGTCGGCGGCACTCAACATGATTTCAAAATGGCACTGAATGTAGCATTAATTTGTGCGCCATCAAGGACGACGACGACGGTGAGGATGAGGACGAGGACGAGCACAATGAAGTCATCCTCTTGTTGGTACTACTGTCTGTCTTTAACTTTCATCCTGCTGCCGCAGCCACTGCCTCACATTTATAACAGTTTATTTGCTGTGCGCATTACTGTCTGAGTCTATTCCTCTCTCACTCTCTCTCGCTCCCTCTCGCTCTTTCGCTGTGTGTCTCTGTTGAGCTGCCTGAAAAGGATTAATTAAACGCCGAATACCCGTAGATGCTGCTGCCCGCCACGACATTTCGTTCTCTATTACTCTCTCTCTCTCCTTCTCTCTCTCTCTCTCTCTCTCTCTCTTTCGTTCGACCCGTTTTTTATACAGTCTTTGAAGTTTGGGCACGGCATAATTAGTTTAATGAGCTTTACTAGTATCGCCATAATGATTATCCACCACGCCGCATTCGCAGCACAAATTCCGAGCAACAAGCATACATATTTACTTCGTTTTCATTATGAAAATCTCTCGGTTTTTCTTTTTCTATTTCTTCTTTGTTTTGTTCTTCTCATTTATTTCAATTTAGACGCAATGAAATTAAAGTTACGAATTTATAATTACCCTGGCCAAAGTCAAATGCAATTAATTAAGTGAGCATCAAGGCAGCCGGGATAACGTCAAGGATATGTTTGGCGCTTTCAATTTATTTACAGTTAGTCATTTAGATGTGTTTGCCTTCGCACACACTCACAAAGAGCTGCGCTCATTTGCTGGCAATTAAGCGCACATAAAATTTCAAGTATGTGTGTGTGTGTGTGTGTGTGTGTGCGTGTGTTGTGTGCCTTTACGTCATTTGAAATGGCGCCAGCTGCGCGAAGAGTCGGGTGGGCGTGGCTGTGCTAGGCGTACGATGGGCGATGGGTGGCGGCTGTTACTGTCTGTCTGTCTGTCTGCCTGTGTACGTGTGTGTGTGCATTTTAATTAGAAACTTGTACGTTTTGCTTAATTAGACAAATTGTTTTAATATTATGTGCAAACTTTGTTGCACCAAACTGCGACAAATTAGTTTGGCAACACAGCTGCCAGCCAAACAAATCTGGGTCAACATTGCTCATACGCCAATCCAAACCCAATCAAATGCGGCTTAAATTCGCAATTGAAAGCGCAGCGCACAAAATTATGCAACGAAGATTTCGATAGTCACATAAGAGACAGCGTAATAAGGGGATGACTTACTGGATTAGTTATAGAAACCAGTGCTATTTATATCATATTATCGAGGTCTCAATCTCTCATCCTCTACCTTAACGTCCTCTTGAATGCACAAAAAAAAATGCAGTTTAATTTAACAATTTAACATATGTTGCACAAGTATGAATACATTCATTTAATAACTTGATGCCATAAAAAAAATTATATACACATATAAACCGGAAGCCCTTGGCTAGCCCTTCATACGAGTAAGAGTGCTTTTTATTTCGTTCTGGAAGTAATATATACATATGCTCACATATTCGTTTCTAGCAGGAATGGCCCGTTGAAATACCAAACTGCATTGCATTGCTGTTAAATAATTAACCATCTGAATTCTTTTAATTTTTTCATGAACTTCATTTAAGTTGAGTGTAAATATGTGCAAAGCAATTCAATTGATATAGATGATAAAAGAATTTATATTTAATATACTCTACATTCAGGTTACCAAGCTAAGAGTTAAGCTAGCGATATTTTAAACAGTGTGAGGTACATTTATCTTGTCTTATTACATTTACAATCCCATTAAAAGTAGGATATATAATTTCTTTTTTACAAGTATCTCTGATCTTAAAGGAAAAACTTGATTTTGCATACAATTTTAATCTTTATTTATAACTGTCCATATCGAGAGTTTAAATTTGACAACCAAAACTATTTTTGATTTAGATTCATGAATGAATGAAGACAGATCTTAAGTTTGTGCTCAATTCGAGTTAAGTGTTGTCTGCCTATAAAAATATTATATACAATATACATATTAATTCGCATTTAAGATCACTTTTTGCGTGCATTTCTTTTGAGTAGTTAACCCCAATTTGGATTTATTTGTGCTTTAGGCTGCAATCTGTGCCGCCTGCAATAATAACAAATTTTATTCGGCTCGGAGCGCTGACGCGATCTGCCCACAATTCATAAAGCGAATTCATCAAACAGAATTTTTAGCCGTGGCAAAATAAACAAAGTGAATTTTTGGGATTCGTAAATGCTTTAATGCCTAATGCCTAATGCATAATGCTAAATGCGATTCCATCAGTCGCAACGGCACATTTGGCGAGTGTGTTTACAATAATTTCCTACTCAGAATTCGACAGATCGGGCAATTAATGAAAATGGGCAAATGGGCAAATGGGAACGCCACAACAGGCTACAAATCGGAATTCTACAGAAAATTAGCAGACCACTCAAAACTAATTGAAATTAAGGCAATTGTGTGTATGTATGTGCGCAGGGTGCAGGGTGCAAGGTGCAGGGCATTAGCACCGGCTAATTCGTTTCAGTCTCCACCTGCGCATCGTTGATTTTCATCTTGGCGTAGAACTCGACCAGCTCGTCCTTGCGCCTGGCCATGCCCAGGGCGCGTTGGTAGCTTTCCTCCCAGGCTGCGGGATGCAATTTGGCCAGCTCGATGAGGGATCTTTGGGCAGCAGCTTGCATCTCCTTTTCGGGACTCTCATGGTAGAGCAACAGAATATCCAGAGCGCGCTTGATGAATGCCTCCCACACCTCATGCTCGTACTCCAGCTCCTCCTTCGTCCCTTCAGTCTTGAATACAGGACGCAGTTTACCCACGGCTGTGGCAGCTATGACGCGAATACCGGCTGAAGGATCATCCATGCGCTGCATAATGGCATAGGCCAGCGGCTTGATCGCCTCCACCGACATGCCCTGGAAGTAGCACATGGCCTTGATGGCATAGTGACGCGTGGTCACATTGCGATCCTCCAGCAAGCTTGGCATGTGATTGGCCAGCGCTGGCAGAACTTCTCGCGCCTCCTCCTTGGCGCCTTGGGCCACTGCGCAGAGCGTCGCCATGGCCATGGAGCGCATGGCCTCGCCATGAGCACCAGCCCTCCACGGTAAATGTGGCTCGACAGCTTCGGTGATGAAGTTGCTCAGCAGCTGTGTGCTTTGCTCTCGCTCCACGGTAACAGTCTCGGACCAGGAGAGCGCTGCTATCGAAAGAATACTAAAGATGCGCACCTGGGCCGTGTCGCAGCAATGCTGAAATACCAATTTGATCTTCTCGATGAGCTGCGGCAGATATGTGGATCGTATTTTGCCCAAGTGAATGAGCCCGTACAGCAGGAGGACAGGTTCGGCGTTCTCGTCGAGCGCGGCATCCAGGTTATCCACATCGAGCAGCACGATGCCGAACCAGCTCTCGTGCAGCTTAGCTAGCGAAGTCTCCTCCAGCTGGACAAGGCGCTTCAAGATCATTTGACCGCGCTGCACATCTTCGGTGTCCTCGTTGTGCAGGGCATAGGACAAGGCCATTACCTTCATGGCGGTCACATAGATGTTCAAATATAGATCCTTTAGCTCCTCTATTGAGGCTGTCACCTTGCTGGACTTGTCCAAAATGGTGTCCAGCGTTTTCAGTATGTACAATTGAAAGCCCGGCTTGAGGGTATGCGAGTAATCCGTGCATCTTAGCAGCTTGCCCAGGCGCTGCAGGTGCTCATAAGTGCCGCCCAGGGAGGCAGTGAACATGTAGTAGAAACACTTGAGGAACGATTCGCGTGCATTGCGCTCCAGGCCATCAAAGCCATGATCGATCCAGGCATCGTAGCTCAGCAGTCGACCCATCAGATCTGCCACCTTTTTCGCTTCTGCCGCGATAATGGGCTCGCTGTCACAGCAGGCATGAGAAACATGTGGATAGATCTCGAAGAACTTGGCCGTCATGGAGGCCTCGGCGTGCAGAATGAATTGATAGAGCAGCTTCAGCGAGTGCAGGCGCACATTGTCCTTCCAGTCACTGGTCTCGCGAGTGATGAGCTGCAGCAAACGCAGCGAGCGCTGCACCAGGCCCCGGCAGCCGATCGTGGGGCGCTGTACACCGGCCGGATAGTTCTCCACCGGCAAATCGCCTATCTCCTGCTGCGAGAGTTCCGCCTCGTTCTCTTCGTAGTACTGTACGCCGCATTTCTCCCAAAGCGGGCGTATGTGCGACAGCACCTCCGGCGAGTCATCTTTGAGGCAGCACAGCACCAGGGGTAGAATACGCTCAAAATATGAATAGCGATCCGGCAGCTCGAGCAGCATTAGCACCCCCATCAGACCGCACTCACGACGCACCAAGGGCATCGAGTCCATGAGCAGTGGAGAGACCTCTGCCAGCAGCCGTCGCATGCCCTCGCCACTGGCATCCAAGTGCAGACTCACTCTGCCTATGGCCTCTATGGCAGCAATGCGGGCCGCCGAATGTCGATGATTCAGCATTCCATAGAGGGCCACCGCTAGAGACTCGGTGAACGGGCGCAACTCCGCGGTGTCTGCCACACGACACAGCTGCACCAGCGTGGCACAGCCTTCCCGCTGCACTGCAGCATACGCGTCTTTGATGGCTTTGATGAGCACCTTGACCACCTGGGGATAGCACTCACGGAAGACGCCCACATTGCCCATGAGCGCGTACTTGCGCAGCATCAGATGCAGCTGCTCAATGTACAGCAGACGTATCTCCTCGCTCGGCTCCACAGTCTCCGTCTGCCCCATGCGCTCGGCCAGCGTCGACACCACGTTGAGCAGGTGGAAGTCCAAGGGCGGCAAACGCTTCAGGAATGCGCTCACAGCCAGCACGGCGCGATCGCGCACATTCTCATACCGATCACCATAGCACTTGAGCAGATGCAGGTAAAGCTCATCGAACTCGGCGGCGATGGCATCGGTGCCAACAGAGTCGGGCGTATGCTCGCAGATCTCGCGCAGCTTCAGTAGAGTGCTGCCACGCTTGCGATGATCGTTGCTCTCCAGGTCGCTGCAAATCTGATTTGTGTCCAAATCGAAACTCATTTTGGATTATTTTTGAGAATTTCTTTCGTTAGCTCGTCGAGTTGTTTCTAGCAGGATTCTCACTTGAATTGTGCGCACTGTAAGACGAAAACGAAACGAAAAACGAGAGACGTCAACAAGCACCGTTAACTGCATCGGTTGCTACGATACACAAATTCGAGTTATTCACATTGTTTACTATTTGATTATCTTTATTCTCGCTCCCAACGGAGTCGGCGTCGCCTCACGCACACTTGACAACGAGCCAAACAACCGAAGGAACAACCAACCGAACAACCAGGCAACGTGCGCGAAATTTCTGCCGGCAATTGTCGACGATCAGCTGTTTGCGCTCGCTCAGCTGTTCGCTGCGCAGAGCAGTGTTGGCATTGGCCAACAGCAGTGTTGGCAAACGCTGTGCTGGGCGGGCTTTTTCACTTTATTCAAAAGCAATTATTGCTGCTTGCTGTTGGAGCATTTATGCTTTATTGTTTGCTCAACTAATTAACAAGTCATAAATGAAATTTCTCTGGAAACTTGGTGCGCAATTTGTGCCGCTGTCTTTTATGAGCGACCCGGGTGGACTCATTAAAAGCGGTTTCGCTTATCTTCGATGCAGCTATCTAATTGCGGTGTCGTTTCTTATCAGCGAGCAACTAACTAACGAGCGACAATATCTAAGATTGATTGCCAGTGCTTGTTGTTATTTATATTTTTATTCTCCTCTATTTTTCGTTTTTTTTTATGTGGGTTTTGGGGGCGGGTGGGTGTTTGACTTCCTGATAAACAAAATCACATAAAATGCCTATTTATATCGAGCGAAACTTAATTGCATTTTCGGGTCACTAAATTGGGTTATAAAACTAGGCCGGGCAGTGAAATAACTAAATAAGTTGTCAGAGTGCTTAAATATTTTTATTTTATTTAATTTTTTGATGCCATATAAGTTGTAACAATAGATTTTAATGCCGCTGGGCCAAGCTAGGTATTCATAAAGACCTGTTATGCGATCTGTTGAGCAAGTGGGTGGCTAAAAGAAGTTTTATGACCATTTTTGTTGGTCATAAACATTTAAGTAGCTACATTTGAAAACATTAGACTTGAAAATTCGTTAACATATGTATGTATATATGTAAAAAACCAGGCAACCTAAAGTCGACCACAGTAGCTTAAACGGTGTTTACATCCCAGATTCTGTTACTCGACGTAACCGTTAATAGTTTTTATTGTTCTCATTTGTATCGAAAGATCTTTTCCCACAGACAAACTTGATATATTGTGATGCCATTAAGGTATTTTTTAATTTCTCTTTCGCCATTTCATTTGTGCGCCCCATTCTGCTGCCAAACAGCTCCAAATTGACGCGTTCCAGATCCACAATAAACATATTTTACGTGGTTTGCTTTTCAGCTTCATTTTATTTTCGCTGGGCCTGTGTCAAAAAATGTTGTCAATTTTATAAAAAAAAAAAAAAGCAAAACCAGCCGCTGCACGTTGTGGACCAGCAACATTTATAACTTTTGTGCACACAATTCGATTTCATACCTTTTTGTTGGCCAAGGCACAGGCACAAGCACAGGCAGAGACGGCGGCAGCGGCAGAGGCAGCGACCGAGCAGGAGAGAGATAGAGTCGCACGCTCCAAAGCAATTAAGCGCATGAATCAGGTTCAGGTTCGTTCCATGGGCAAAGGCAGGGCAATATGAGAGTGTGTGTGCGTGTGTGTGTGTGTGTGTTTGGCGTGAGTTTTTCCTCTTTTTGTTTTTTATGTGACCGTGCCGATTCAATAAAAAGTCATACAAACATACAAACTTGTATTCGCACACACAATACGGGCACAAATACTACGGACAGAGAGAGAGAGACAGAGAGAGAGAGGGAGAAAGAGAGAGAGATAGAGCCACATACCGGCCCAATAAACTTAATTGATATGAAATGAAGTCATTTGGCAAAATCACTGGGAGAGTAATGGACCGCGTTTATTCAATTTGATGTCTGACTGGCAGTGGGCATACATACACATACACATACACATACATACATACTATGTATATGTGCATATGTATGTACATGCCATTCGTATTTATGTGCTTATGCATATTTTTATCTCTTTTCGAAAGCAATGGAGCACATGCATGTGTGTGTTGTTTGTGTGTGTGTGTGAGTTTGATTTTATAGCTAAAATGATTCAATTAAAATAACATTTTAGCAGCGCAGCACGGAAGCCGCACGACTGCATTTCGGCCGCAATGGAAACTTGTTTGCGCGCTCTTATGATAAAGCCGAAATTGGCTGTGTTATTAGAGTACACACACACACACATACATATATATGCACACATTCTCGCAATTAATAATTATACGCACAACACATTCAATTGCAGCGGGCACAAGATACATCGAGTCGCGCTGCTCAGATACAAAGATACTTGCATTCGCTCGTTGGTTCGTTCGGATTGGATTGCTTTTTGTCATGCTGTGCTCTAATTTGCTTTTACCGACTCTGAAATGGACTTGTTACAGCTGCCGTGTGTCGTTCGCYTGCAGTTGGTATTGCCATTGCTGTTGCTGTTGCTGTTGCTATTGCTGTTGCTATTGCCTGGCTAAATGCAAATTTTCCAATTGATTGCAATGGAAATGGGCGTGCTGGCAGCAGCGACGCCAGCAGCGATGCTGGCAGCGACGTTTGGCACTGTTGGCCGCTAATTAGTTTCATTTTTCATCGGGCAACAACTGCGTCGATTGCCTGCTTAAGTGACTGACTTAATGACTGAATGACTGACGGCACCAATCAACTGGCTGCCTGCTCGCTCCCGCTCAGTGCCTCTCGCTCCCTCGCAGTTCCACTAATGTAAGTTTGTGTGTGTGTAGGTTACTTAAGTGCGGGCTGCTCTCTTTGTGTGTGTGTGTGTGTGTGTGCTTCGATTTCTCGGAATTCAGTTTTGATTAGAAAAACAGCTAATGGGGCTGCCCTCATATGCATATGCCGGTTTCGAGCTGCGCACTTGTAGCTACTTCTCTCTTTCTCCTCCCCACCCCCCTCCCCCCTTCACCATCTATCCATCACGTCTGCTCTGCCCTCACTCCATTGCTCGCTTCGTTGTTGTTTTTTTCATTTTACGTGAGTTTAAACTTTAAAATGCCTGGCCCAGAACAAATTGAGTACTTAGCCCGCTAATGATTATGTAGACGCGTGCTAGCACCGCTAATTGTTGTCGCATCATAATAAATTTCTCGTTTCATTCCATGACTCATCGTCGTAATGTAATAATCAAAATTCAGCTGTCATTCCACATATTGTGGAGTCGTGAATTCAGTGAACCAATTTACAGAGTGTATGCAAAATACCTCGTTCAAAATGAAATGAGTTCCAATCTGCGGAAATTACTAAATAATGGTTAGTAATAAATCACTTGAAAAAAAAGAAAAAAAAAAAAAAACACGAGCAGATTTGCAATTTCAGTTTTGTTTTCAGTTTCAGATTGGATTAATTTGTGAAATCTGTAAGCTCTTAGAGAAAATCGCAACTCTGCGCCTGGTAAAGTTATTTTAGAAATCTTATCAGAGCTTCCTATTTATGCCTTAGCCCTAACCTAACCCAATTCATGTAATTAGCTTTGACTTATCCTACATCTGTTTTGCAAGCTCCTCTATGCGCTGTGGCTAATCTCAGAGTCAAGCCGTGCTCTTATTGCCAGGTACTTCATTCAGTTCAGTTCGTATCTCTGCCCTTTGGTTGACTCCAGTTGCTTGGGTTCTCAGCAGCTCATCCATTCAAATCATTGCTGCAGTCTGCTCCGTTTGCTTACTTTTTGCTGTTTTGTCGTGCGTTTGCTCTCAGCGGTGCTTTGATTTTATTTAGTGGCTCGTTCGATCCCACCAAGCTTCACTCTTTGAGCTGGGGACTCTGCGGGCAATAATTTAAAGCTTGGCCTGCGACTCGGCTTTGGTTTTAATTATTCTCTAGCATATGCGTTTGGTTTATTTGATATTCGGTATTTATTATTTGTTTATTTGCACTATTAGCGCTAAAATAGAAGTCGAGGCCCGCTGATATGGTAATGCGAGACGCCAAATGGTTTTCCATTTTGCGTAATCAGCGGCCGTTTGTATTTAAATGCCGTCGACTCTGTGTGTATGTGTGTGTGTGTTGTGTGTGTGTTTGTTTGTTTGCACAGACGCATAGTTAGCGGCCATGCGGAGTGACCAATGCGCTCAATCAAACAGTCCGTCAGTCTGTCAATCACTCAATCGGCCAGTTTGAGTAACAATTTAATTAATTAAAGACTGTAATGCGAACCAGTTATGCGATAAACATCGGCGCGCTAGACGAGCACCTGTTTATCAAACGTGAATATGAGCTGCGGTATGCGCGAGTAAATAGTTTGTTTATGGCTCTGAATGAAATGCGAAATGTCTACTAATTGTGCATAACTGGAATGGCATTCAATATTGGAAGCCACTGTGATATGGTTGAAATAATATCGTAACTATCAAAATCAGAGAGTGAGATAGACATACAGCGAGAGAGAGAGAGAGTGTGAATGAGACTCGCTATTGTTAGTTATCTCATTTGATAGCTGTGAACGTAATCGCATACAACTTTGTTGTAGCATATCTACAAATGAATCAGGCTGTCTATAGTCTGTAATTACGAATTGTCTTCAACATTTATCGATCAACTCGAAATACATGCATTCACGCATATCGCATTCTAATGCACTTGTTGGCTGTTGTTTACATTTGAAATAATTGCAGCAGTTGTCGCTGCGTTTCTGATTACTGATTCGCAATTAGCTGTATACACTTTTTATACAAACTGTGTGGGTGTGTGTGTGTGTGAGTGAATGTGTCATTCTGTTGACTGGCATAAGGGTCAGTGAATGACCGGCTTGTGCCAACTATAGTTAATTAACTACGATCAACAGGCAGCTGCGATTTCTAATTAAGCTCAATAACAAATCGAATGGGCTATAAAAAATTGATAAATATGTTATTGCCGATATTAAGCAAAAACTGTATCACAAACGCAGTTGAAATGGTCTTTGATAATTGACTCGTTTAATCAGAGACTATAACAGAAATGCAGTTGCAATCGACTGTGCTAATTGAGATCAAGTTTCAATGATGAAGCTGAAGAGAAATTAAGAGAGAAAGAGAATCCCAAACATGAAATATCTAAAGAGAGTAATAGATTTGCTAGCAGACCAACAATCAGATAGATTCAATCTATATTTTAATATTTCTTTTCAAACATATTTTTTCATATTTTTTTTTGCTTTAAATTTATAATACTTTCATTCTTGTTAATTTGTTGTTTGCATGATAAGAGGACCTTTACTTGGTAGTCGTTTATATTAATTGGCTGTGATTAATTGAAATTGATTTCAAAGTAAGCAGAGTTCGATTAGAAACTGCTTGCACGAGTCTATTGAATTCCTGACCACGTGTAAGAAAGTTCAGGTAAACAAGTTTTGCGCCCAGCGGAACAGATTTTTCAAATGATTAGCATTCGTGTGTGTGCTTTCTTTTAATTCATTTGTTTATAATTATTTGCCTGATGCTGATTTCATAATCAGGTCAAGCGACTAGTCAATTGATAGGCTTCGGGAATCCCCATTCCCTTAGAGAACGTAGTACACATACAAAATTGATTGACTAACTAACTAACGTCAGTGTGACTTACCTCAGTGCCAAACGGTTAATTGTATCCGAAAAGCCAAGGCGAACTGAAATCCAATTAAATGTTTCTCCTTGTGGACGGTTAGATTATTTTATTTTTATTTTATTTGTTTGTTGTTGTTGTTGTTGTCTTTTACTGTTTAGCTATTTATAGCGTTTATATTGAAAAGGTCACGTTTTGTTATCGTTGTTCTTTCACATATCCTTTGGGTCGCCGAGTTTTCTCAAATGGCTGGCGCGGCGTTGCTGTTGCTGTTGCTGTTGGCGATAATCCTTAATTAGTCTAACGAGTCGCAAATTAATCCACTTTACTTAATTAAAATGCTGTGCCGCCGCACAAAAAGGCAAACCAGAAAAAAAGCAACAAATGTTCGACCATTATAATTAAAAAATTGACGAAATGAAATGAAACGAAACGAAATGCAAAAGGCATCATTTGAATATAGAGAGAGGGAGAGAGTGAGAGCGAGACAGAAGGAGTGGCTAGAGAGTGAGAGAGGAGAGAGACGAAAACAGCAATAGACAGAGAAAGCGCGAGGGAGAGCGAGAGAGAGAGAGAGGCATTGTGAGAGAGATAGGGTAGATTGAAAAAGAGAGAGGGAGAAATGTATTTAATTCATTAGCCAGTTGACAATTATTGATTATGGTTTTGCAATTTTCAGCGACAGCTTTTCGCTCTTTTTTTTTGGTTTTTTTGTTATTTTGAAAAATTAATTTGAGTGCATTTCAGTTGCTTTGCTGCATTGGTTACACAATTTGTTATTGCCAACACGTTGGCCATTTATTTAATTTTTAATTATTTTTGAATGTGTTCTGGTTTCATAATTGCCAGCCCATTGTCTGGGACTGCGTACGAATTGTGTCTGTGTGTGTGCGTGTGTGTGTGATTCAATTAAATACATTTAATTATTTGCGAACAATGCACAAGTAAACAATTTTGAACCAACGAGCAGTCCCTGCTACAGCCCTCTCCCTCTCCCTCTCCCACTCTCACTCTCTCCCTCGCTCACTCGCTTTTTCAATTAAACTGTCAGCCGCATTTTAATTTGGCAAAATTTAATTTGGCATACACTTAACATTTATATTATGTGCAATGCGTTATTTATTATACTTTCTGACATTTGCCTAAATAAACGCAGCTAATTGCTCATCGAGTGGAAAGCGGCAAAATTGTTGCAGCGATTAAAGCAGGCCACAGATCTGGCGGAATGAATTGGCTAGATGAATTAGATGACAAGCTAAAAGCTATTGACTCGAAATGTTAACTAATTAACTGTTAACTAATTAATAGTTCAACAATTGCTGTATTAATCTCATGTGAATAAATAATTCGAATTATTAAAACACATTTGCGATTCGCTTTGCGATTTTACAATCCCAATTTATTGAGAGAAATAAAAACAATTTGTTTTATTGCTTTCAATAGCCAAAGCTCAGTCGACTGATGGTGCACTGTGGGGAGAGGTAGGGGAGGGTCGCGAGGGGTCTGTTGGGGTAGCTGCTATACAGGTCAAATTCACACAGAATTTGCTGCGTTGTTTAACTGGCTTTCGTTTCGTTTCGTTTTGTTTGGTTTTGTTTTGCTTTGCCAATTTGATATTAATTAAGTTTATTTAATTGTTTACTTTCGTTAACGCTGTGCACGTTCCGACAATTAAAACTTGAACTTTTTGGGGATAAAAAGCAATTTCTGCATTTTTACATATTCGTATGCAAAATACTGTTATTTATTATTAAGTTGCTATTAACATGCGCCGCAATAATAATATTAATAATAATAATACAACAGCAGAAGCGACGGCTAATAAATATATGAAATGAACACACGGCCATAGCACCCGTTTATAAAATCTACTTCAATTTGTGACACACACACACACACATACATACACAGAGATAGAGAGAGGGACGTTAGCATATAATTGCTTTATATATAACACCTCGGCCAAAAACTGAATTTAATTGGGTAATTGAAATATTTTGCTGCTCAAATTAAAAATTCCATTTTTGCACACGCTCATAACTTATTTACGAGCCGTTTCGGAAACCAATTGCCGGACCGGAGTGGGGCCAGCAGTGCGGCTGCGTAACCTGTCAACGCGTCAATTGACAAATTGCGAACCGCACTGAAATTACGGCTACTCTCTTTTTATTTTTTCTTTGACGAGCAAACAGACAGAAACACAAAGTAAAAGGAAATCAATCGCAACTTGTTGGAAGCGTACAACACGGGCTCAGGCACACAACAATAGAGAAGCTTCAAGTGCGACTAGGCATCGGGCATCGGGCATCGGGCATCGCTACACAGACGCCACACGGCAGCAATTAGCGCGGTGAGCACAAGTGTTTACTGTTGTTGCTGTTGCTGCTGCTGCTGTTGCTGTTGATGTTGTTGTTGTTGCTGCTGCCGCTGCTGATGATGATGATAATTGAGCACAGAAATCGTTGTCGCCGTCTTATAAATTTCATTGCTGATTGCCGGCGGCCAGCGAGCGCAGCACAATATCAACAAATTAATGAAAATGCCAAGCAAAACTCATATAAAAAGCAGACAGTGTGATATATTTATACACTCATGTATATATAATCCCAAACGTCTATATGTAGGTAGGCCTGTATGGGCCATATGCATAAGTAAATATATCGCGAAATGAATGCTGTTTGACGTTGTTCAACGCGCTAATTCTTTTGGCCAGCAAATGCGACAATAACAAACAGCCGAAATGCTAATTAGTTTCATGTGTGACTAATGGATGGATGAAACGGCACAAATACAAGCAAATAAGCACGCACACAAACACACACATGGGCACACACGTACGCACGCACACACAGACACGTTCTCAGATACTTGTACACATGCGTGACTGATGTCGCACTCATTGCTGTTGCTGTTGCTCTTGTTGCTGTTGTTGTTGCAACACACTTAATTAAAATAGTACACTGTGAGCCTCTGAGGAGGTCGCCACATTTGTTCGTTCTATTTTAATAGCCTGTGCCTCATTATAATTACGTTTATAATAGGCCGGCGCGTAAATTGAATTTGACTTTAGATACGTCAACGTCAAAATATGCTCCGAGCTTTCTGCTGCTGCTGCTGCTGCTTTTACGTATCCGGCCGAGAACCACTTGTGCTAGTATTACGTTAAGCGTTTTGCGCGTACGCGTACGCGTCCCGTCCAGGTTGGTTAAACACGGCGACGACGACGCTAACTGTTTGGGTTCTTCAAATGGGCACCGACAGCACACAGTCCGATATCGAATACCGAATACCGACCACGACAAACGATTCTAAACGACTTCTGAGTGAATGCTATAAAGCACGAAAACGACGTCGTCGGCAACGACGGCGACAGCGACAGCGACGACGGCGACTGCGACTGCGACGACGACGACGACGACGACGACGAGGGCAATAACGACGACGACGACGACAACAACCAACAGCCAACGACCGCTGAGGACTGGAAACTGTTGCTGTTGCTGCTGCTGCTGTTGCTATTGCTGCGGCTGCTGCTGCTGCTGTTGCTGCTGCTGCTGTTGCTGCTGCTGCTGCTGCTGCTCTGGCTGTGAACTGCGCCGTGCAACTATTTAACGACGACTGAATGTGGCAATTATGTATCTAGATACATTTTGGCCAAGCGCAGCGCCAGCGTCGCTGCTGCCGTCGCGACGCGCTCTGCTGTCTGCCAGTCTGTTTGGTTTGGTGTGTGTGTGAGTGTGTGTGTGTGTGTGTGGGGATTTTGTGTGGGGGTTGCTAAACGAGGCAACCATCATAAAACATATTACTATAATTACAATTATGCTGCGCTCTCGCACGCACACATACACACGCACACACACACCACACACACACCACACACACAGGTACACACAGCCATACACGGCTCTGTCAGATACACAGCCAGAGATACAAACAGTCGCGGCGCACGTGAACATAACGCACGGCTATAAAAAACACAAATACACAAATTTTCATATGCATTACAGCTTAATTGTATCTTTAGCTATTGTTGTTGTTGTTGCTGTTGTTGTTGTTGTCAGTGTGTGAACTCATAAATTTATTGCTGGCCGCTGTTTATGTTGCTGCTATTGCCGTCAGCAACATGTTGCCGTTGCGTTCGCTGTGAGTGCCTCGCCGCTTGTGTCTTATTGCTGTTGCTCATTGGCAACGCAGCGACGCGACGTCAGCGCCGCTTGTTGGATGATTATTAAATGCTGAATGTATTTTATTGCTTTGATTGTTGTTGCTGTTGCTGCTGTTGCTGTTGTTGCTGGCTCTGCGCATTAAGGCAGCGCTCAACGCTCACGCCAGTATCTTTTTGCATTGCAAATTGCCGGCGTTGCTGGCATCGCTGGCATCGCGCGCTGTGAGTTTGTTTTTAATTCTCTATAATTGAGTTATATGTACTTTAATAAGTTGGCGGCGGATGCTGCGTTTGGCTTGGATTGGTGATGTTGCTGCCGCTGCTGTTGCTGCTGCGAGTGCTGCTGCTGCTGCTGCGAGTGTTGCTGCTTTAGGGCGTTCGCTGCCATTCACTTTGTTATTGTCGACGACTGAGACGACGACGACGACGACGTTTAGCGCTAATTAATGCTGAGCCAACAGCTTTCGATTGCTTTTTATTGTTAGTGCTCGGTGCTCGGTGCTCGGCGCTCGGTGCCCGATCCCTTGTGCCTGGCTGCCTTTGTCTTTGGTTCTCTTAATTGTTCACTCAGATTTATAATTTGATTAATTATATCGATGCCATTTCGATTCCATGCGGCCCCCTGCCCGCTGCCCCCTGCGAGACACTTTTTATAGATTTTTTGTTTTTCTTAAAATCTCTATACATATATCTTTATTTCTCTATATATTTATATATAACTACATCAATCTGTATATATTTATAAATATGCTGTATAATTGCTTAGTTGTCGTTGATGTTATTATTGGTTTAGCTGCTTCTGTTATTGTTGTTGTTGCTGTTGCTTATGCAATAATTGGTGTATAATTTCATTTCCTGAGAACTCTGCGCCGGGTCGTGGGCCAACAAATGCTTTCATTGTATTTTAATGTCGTAATTCACAGCGCTTGGGCAAATTAGTCAGCTAAGCAATTTGCTACAAGTATATATGAGCCCACACATATACATACATACGTACAATATTTATGTACAATACATGGGCAAATATACAAATGAACATATGCGCGAGTGCTCAATTAGCTGTAAGGGCGCAAGTGTTCTCTGCCCTGCGGTTATTAATAGGCGTTATGCTATCGATAAGACCCATTAGTCATCATCAATTGAAATAATAATAATTATGATATGAGTTTAGAGAACTATCAATACCCTTCAAAATCAAAATCTAATGAGTGTGTAAGATTTTTAAGCAGATTTTAAATTAATAATCAAATTTTATATTATTGTTTATAAGTTTTGCTCATCTTAATATATCGTTAACTTTGATACAATGAGCTTCATAATAATACGAGTTGGATTCAATTATTATCTAATACCTATCAAGTATAGAAGAACTTAAAAAGATTCAATTTATTTTCTCAAGTTTCTTAAGCGCCAATATAATGAATTGGAAATAATCTACAAGTTTTCCACTAGAAAGCAAATACCTTCATAATGAAGCGAGTCGAGCTTGCTAACTAAATGAACCCCATGAACCCTTGTTAAACGATCAACAACAAAAGAACTGAGAAAAATATAAACAGTCAACAACTACTTTTGCCGCCAACATCATTAGCAATCTCCATAATAATAACAATATGACAACAACAATGCGAACGGAGAGAACTCTGATTGCTAATTTAAATGGAATTACGTCGGATTATAGCGAAGGGCAGTCAATAGCAAGTAAATAGTGTATGAGAACAGGCAGCCGCTTACTCGAAGAGGCGGCTCACGGAAAATGAAAGAAAACAAATCAAGAGAACTATAATGATATACGTACGTACATACATATATAATATACCTCTAGCTGCGATGAAAATGTTGCTCAAGATGCTGAAGAAGATGGAGGCAAATTAGGCAAATTAGACACTTGGATAAACACTACACATATACACATACACATATATATTGAAACTCACACACACACGCACGCATACATGAGCTCAGTGAGTGCCGCGAGTGGCATGAAGAAGCGTTTTTTAACTGCATGCAAAACAAATTGTGCTGAGCTGTTGACGATTGATGCCAGCGTCAAAGCAACGGAGTCAGTTTTACTTGGATTATTATTGGCTTAGTTTATGCAATAAATACGACGTCGATGACGACGATGACGACGACGACGACGTCGACGAAGAGGACGAGCTCAAAATACAGCGAGGCTGACTGCGATGGTCGTTAACGCAAAACGTCAATTTACAACTGCGAATGTGATTGTGAATGTGAATGCCCAACAGCGGCAAACGAGCTAGGCAACATCAGCGGCCATGGCTGGGCAACGTGGCAATGGCAACATGTTGCGTGTCAAGGATGGCTTCGCAACATGCGGGGCCCACTCGGTGCAAGGCGCTACGAAAAGTACAAGCAAATAAACTTATTATAAATATCTCCACTTAAACCAAGCGACGCTGACGCCGACATTGCTGCTGCTGACGTCGCTGCCACTAGTGCTTCTGCTGCTGTTGCTGCTGCTGTTGGTGTTCGTCTTGCTGTTGCTGCCAACGTCGCTGTGGGGGCCCCATTTATGCTGCGAGCCAACAATGAGATACAAATGCGCACACGCAAAGCTAAATGTGCTCTCGTTCACTCACACACTCACACGAGCACACACACACACACGAGAATCCCGACAGTCGGACAGATGAACGGCTGTCAAGTCGCAATAAGCAACAAAAGCATTAAATGATGACAACAACATTGCGCTTAATGGACTGCCACTGCCGCGTTCGCGTCTCAATTCAAAGTGCATTTTGCGCGCGCTCTCTCGCACGCTCTCTCCCTCTCACACACACACACAGTTGCCCTCGCTCTGTTTCGCCGTATCGTGCTGCTCCTCTCGTTCACGCGCGCTCTCTCCTTTCGGCTTCAGCGTGCTCTCCCACTCTGGCACACTGTTTATATGCACTGACTGTTTGCTCTTGGCTTGCGTTATAAATCCATTATAATAAAATCATGTTGTTGGTTTATTAGTTCAGCAACATGTTGCCGCTGAGCAGTCAAGTGCTTTCGCAACATGCTGCTTCGCTTATAAATATTGCAAGTGTTTTCAATTAGCTCACATTTTGTGACTTTCATATTAAATGAGAGCGAGCCTGCATGCTTCTTCCCTGTGCGAGGGCCACAGTGTGTGAATGTGTGTGTCTGTGTGTGTGTCTGTGTGTGTGTTCCTGTATGTATTTATACATATGTGCGAGTAGTTTGAGTCTGGAGCTGTTTCCAATTATAAATTGCAAGTTGCAAACGCCGTAATTAAAAATAAAAGAAATAAAATGACGCCTGAGAAGCTTGCTTAAAAGGTCAAAGTTTTTGAGGTCAGCTAAAAAAAAGGTCAATGCAGTTTCTTAGTCGACTTTTACAAGCTTACAGTAAGCACACTTCCGAAAAGCGTCCTCCCCATATTTCCAATAAAATTGCAATGAAAGCACTCACCCTATGCATTTGTGTGAATGTAATAATGCTGTGTAGCTGTTGTGTGTGTGTGTGGGTGGTTCGTGTGTGTGTGTGTGAGGGTGTATGTCTAGCTGTGTTGGTGTGTGTTTCTGTTTCTGAAAGCAATTTCCGCCTGTGTCCGCAATTAAAAAGCAATATCATTCCGAGTAGACGTTAACGCAGAATTGAATTGAATTTTTATGATGTGTTTGTTAAATGCTTTCATAAATGGCAAATTTTCTTGTCGGGCACATGCTCCACACACACGCACATACAGAGACACACAGACACACACACATATAACAGTGCAAAAGTCACAGGCAAACAGAAACGAGAAGCAAAGCAATGGCTTCCAATACGACGTGTACGTACTTGTGTGTGTGTATATATGTATATGAATGGATACCCATGTCTGAGTGTATCTGCATCTACACGTACGTGCATAAATGTATCTCGATTGAAACGAAATCAAATTGCACAAAGCAACGATGGGATGTTGCAATGAGAAC